TATATATATATATATATAATTAGAAAAAAGATTTTAACAGAGAGGAAGTTTCACAAAAAAATCTTTGCCTTGAAAAATACAAGAATATGCTCAAACAAGAAACGGCTCTGCATCGCAGTCACTGAGGTTGAAAAAAGTGATGTAAAAACACTAAAATATTCAATAACAAGATGAAAATTTGCCCAATTCGTGACACTAAATAACCTCTTGCTCTTTAAATTACTCTCAATAATTTACTATACCAAAATTTCAAAGATCTAACCGTATATAACATCTTGCTTTTTCCTCTCCTGCTTCGACAGTTTAAGGCTTGAATGTTGCGATGACCATGATAGAGGTTCGTCAACCCATAAATCCAAATCGGACCATTTTGGTTTATTTCTTAAAAAGTAAGCAAACAGATACTTTTCATAGAGAAAAAGTATAATTTTCAACCACTGATTCTATAATGTACTAAAATGTAACTTATATTACGCAAGTTATTAGGCAGAAAATATACTCATTTCTGATACCTTAATGTAATAACGCTTTTTTACCACTTGGAGAAACTTAAGGCCCGGGATAAAGAAAAAAGCAGTGAACTAAAAACCAATAAATTTCTAAAATTCTCACGTCTGAGGTACAAAACGTGGTTCTTCCCGCAGTCTGGCAGCCAAGTGGCGCCCTTCAATGACGCCAATGGTCACGGGTCGTTCATTTTTCAAGACTTTTTCGAGTTCACCAGGCAATCCTTAAAAAAATTATCACTAACTACTGAAAAGAAACAATATAAACCTGGGGAAAAGCAGCAAACTTACGGTGACGCTTCCTTTGAGCTGAAACAGCCGCTTTTTGACTCATAGTTTAAAACGGATGATCAGTGAAAAACAACAAAACTTAGTCTTATCAATGAAACTAATTAGGCTTTGTTTACGCAACGACACTTTCAAAAAATGCCTGAATCTTTTTATCACCCATAATCAATTTAACTTTCAGCCACAACCCTAAGATTCAAAATTTCTTTCTCTTCCCTACTCCTGAATTATTAAAAACAAGTAAAACCAATGTCTGAAAATAACGAAAACCCATTTTTTTTAACCACCAAGTCATCCAAATAAAGTAATCAAGCCGTTTAACCTCGATTTTAGCAGCTCAGTGAAAATTGAACGATGGCATAAGCCTAAAAAACCCATAAGAAAATAACATTACACCGATAAAACAACAAGGGCAATCCTTTTCTAGCACAACTCAACCGTTACATCAAATAGACTAAGCACACAACCACAAGGTGAAAATTGTAAAACTTGTTACAAGAAGGATAAAAACTCA